CCCTCCCCTTCCAACATTCACTGTCGCGGATGAAACTCGATTTCTCTTGAGCATGGGCTCTCGGTTGAACCTTTCTTCACATCAGGTCAGGACCGTCATGCCACTTTGTGCAACCGTCACTGGAGGGCAGAACATCCGCCCCCATAATAATCACCCCCGACACGCGAAGCCGTCTAGTAAACGCACCCAGGGGAGGAATCATACAGGCCAGGGCTCTTTCGCAAACGCCCAGCGCCGTTTAGTAAACGCCAGTCGTCGGGCCCGTTACTCCAGATTTCGTAATAAAGGGAGGGGGGTCTCATTTCGGGGGGGGTCTCTTCCAGGCTATCTTGGAGGGCCTGGGGGGTCTGGGGACGATGTTTTGGAGGGTTCTCCCACGGGGGAGGTCTGAAATGGCTTGTCTTGGAGGGTCCAGACCCCCTCCCTTTTATTACGAAATCTGGAGTATTTCTTTGTTTGGTTTTTGCTTCTTTTGTCCTCGACTCCGGCGGATGGAGGGCGCCTCCGCGTCAGCACGGGGCTCTCGCTGGAGACGTCCGCAATCGCGGTGGCGACAGGCGCAGCGCTGCGCAACAGTGGCACGGACGGAGGGAAGCTTCCCTATATGTATGTATGTATGTAGGTATGTAGGTATGTATGTATGTATGTATGTATGTATGTATGTAGGTATGTATGTATGTATGTATGTATGTATGTATGTATGTATGTATGTATGTATGTATGTATGTATGTATGTATGTATGTATGTATGTATGTATGTATGTATGTATGTATGTATGTATGTATGTATGTATGTATGTATGTATGTATGTATGTATGTATGTATGTATGTATGTATGTATGTATGTATGTATGTATGTATGTATGTATGTATGTATGTATGTATGTATGTATGTATGTGTGTGTTTGTAGTATGTATGTATGTATGTATGTATGTATGTATGTATGTATGTATCTATGTATGCATGTATGTATGTATGTATGCATGCATGTATGTATATATACATATATATATATACAACCGGGGCTCTCGCTGGACCCCTCCTTGAAAAGTGCAGTGGTCCTGCACCGGGCCGCGTTCCCTAGAGCTGGAGGGCTGGAAGAGCGACGTCGTTTCACGGGAGGGAGGAGGGAGGAGGGAAGAGCAAGGGACGAGGGATGATGATGATGATGATGATGATGATGATGATGATGATGATGATGCTGCTGCTGATGATGATGATGATGATTGATGATGATGCTGCTGCTGATGATGATGATGATGATGACGATGGTAATGCTGGTTATGATGGGGAGGGGGAGGAGGAGGAGGAGGAGGAGGAGGGGGAGGAGGAGGAGGAAGAAGGGGAGGAGGAGGAGGAGGAGGATGTGGAGAGGAGCGAGGAGGAGGAGGAGGGAGGAGGAGGAGGGGGAGGAGGTAAGGGCTATTCAGGATGGGGCTCGGGACGCGAGGGTGTACAGCAACATCGTTTGCACATCCTGGGCTTACCTCTGGTCCTCCTTCTCCCTGATGCTGCTGCTGCGTACCCCTTCCGCTCCCGTTCCTCCTCCTCCTCCTCCTCCTCCTCCTCCTCCTCCTCCTCCTGCTATCCCTCTTTCTCCCCCCCCTGCCTCCTCCTCCTCCCTCGCCTTCATCGTCCTCCTCCGCCGCCTCCCCCTCTTCGCCCCCCTCGTCACCCCCCGCCTTCAAGCCCTCCTCCTCTGCCGCGTCCTCCTCGCCCCGCCCCCTGCCTCCCAGCGGCCCCCGCCACAACAAAAAAGCTCGCCCGAACACCGCCTCCCCCTCGTCGTCCCCCCGCCTTCAAGCCCTCCTCCCCTGCCGCGTCCTCCTCGTCCTCCTCGCCCCGCCCCTGCCTCCCAGCGGGCCCCCGCCACAAAAAAAATATCTCGCCCGAACACCGCCTCTCCGACCGAAGAGCGAGAGCGGCGCGGGGCGGCTCCCGGCGCCGAACGTGGAGAAGACCACCTCTGCGGGCGGAGAGAGCGCGGAGGAAAGTGAAGGGGCCCTGGGACACACAAATAAATACACACAAATAAAACGATGCCCCATATTTTCCCATGTTTTCTGGGTTTTCGTCTTCCCGCCCAATTCCCATATTTTCCTATATTTTCTGGGGAATCGACGATTCATTGTGTCTGTGTGTGTTTTTCCCCTGGGGGGGGGGAAGGGGAGGGGGAGAGAGTGGGATGGGGTGAGTGGGGCGAGGGAGTGGGATGGAGGGAGGGGGATGGAGGGAGTGGGATGGAGGGAGGGGATGGTGGAGGGAGGGGGGAGGCGAGGCCAGCGAGGTGCGCTCGCGCCACACATGACATTCCATCCCTCCATCCCTCCCACCCCTTCCCACTGCGCTGCTTTGTTCTCTCTGCTCCATGCGCGGACGCGTGTCATGGCCGACCTGGAACTCCATTAACCAACAAAGCACCATAATATCAGCAAAGGCGACCTGTGGGACCTGTGGGCAAGAGCAAGAGCAAGAGCCTGCGTCGAGGCACCTACGAGGGTGCGGCGGGAGGGCGCCGGGGCGCCAATATGACTGAGGAGCTGGAGCTGAACACTGGGAGCCGGGGTCGGGAATAAGGTAGCCGGATTCGGAAAGATGGGAGTGGGTGCTGGAACCGTCTTCGGAGAATTGCGAACCAGACGTGGCCTGCCGCTCTCTGGATGGATTCATTGCTGTACGTCGTCGGTGCTGACGAACCGCCACAGTCGGATACATGAGACTGGAGCCAGGGCCGCGGGCGCGGGACCTGTGGGGCCACTGGGAACTGTGGGACCTGTGCGACGTGTGGGACCCGCTGGACTTCTGTGGCCTATGGGCCGTGTGGAACATGTGGGACCTGTGGGGCAGGTGGGCAATGTGGACCCCGTGGGACCCGCGAGACCTGTGGGACCTGTGCGACCTGGGGGGGCCTCTTCGGGCTGCGGGGCCTGTAAGACCTGCGACACCTATGGGACCCGTGGGACGTGTGAGACCTGCCAGACTTGTGGGGCCTGTGGCGCTGGCGACGCCTGTGGAACCTAAGGACCTCCTCCTCCTCTTTCTCCTCCTCCTCCTCCTGATTCATCCTCCGTCTCCTCCTCCTCCTCCTCCTCCTCCTCCTCCTCCTCCTCCTCCTCCTCCTCCTCCTACTACGGGAACTACGGGGACCAGTCGGACCTACGGGAACTGTGGGACCTGCGAGACCCGCGACACTCGCGGAACCTGTCAGACCTGTGGTACGGGCCTGCGAGACCTGCGAGACCAGTGGGGCCTGCAGGACCTGTGGGATCCAGAAAATGGTCCATGGCGAGAGCACCATTCTGAACGACGGGAGCACAGCGCCGATCCGAAAATGAGGCCACAACTGGCGAGAACACACTTCTTGAAACACCGAAAACAATCGGAATGTAACATCACATGGAAAAACAATTCGGCCCAATCCTGTGCGGAAAGAACAAGGACCCGGATGGCGGCGGAAGATCTTCTGGACAACTCCAGGGGAGAGAAGCGTTTAGTATTCATGTTGAAAAAATTCAGGGGTGGAAAGGAGGGGAGGGAGTGGGAAGGGGGATCACTGACCCAGCTGCCAAGTCTGCGAGCGGGCCGCCATTTGACAGTCCTTCGGGGTTGCCATGGCCACCGTTCAGCGAGGGGCACCCTTCGCTCGGGGACAATCCCAACTCGTAGCCTGTTGCTGGAGGGGAGGTGGGATGGAGGGCATGGGACGAGGGTGGGAGGAGGGATGGGAGGAGGGAGGGAGATGGAAGGAGAAAGTGGGGAGGGCCAAGCTAGGTGCGCGCGCGCCATAACTGACGTTCTATCCTTCCCACCCATCCCTTCCCATTGCGGTCTCTCGATCCGCACCTGACAGAGAGGGAGGGGGGAAGGGGGGAGGAGGGAGCGGGTGGGGTCAGGGAGGGACGAGGAAGAGAGGGAGTGGGCGGGATGAGAGAGGGCACGGGGAGGGGGCAGCCGCTTCGGTCCGCGGGCCCTTCCTGGGGTCCAACCCTTGGCTGGCTCCTCGTCCCGGATCGACTTCTGCTGTCCCCTGTGCCTGAAGACGTGCGCCAGACGCCGAAAACGGCGAAGAACCTCGATCAGAGTGAGGGGGCCGAACGGTCATTCACTGTCCCTGGGCGCGAGGCTGAAAGAGGTTCTGCGGTGCGGACTGTTGTTGTTGTTGTTGCTGCTGCTGCATCTGCTGCTGTTGTTGCTGCTGCTGTTGTTGTTGTTGTTGTTGGTGTTGTTGTTATTGTTCTTGTTCTTGTTCTTGTTCTTGTTCTTCTTCTTCTTCTTCTTGTTGTTGTTGTTGTTGTTGTTGTTGTTGTTGTTGTTATTGTTCTTGCTGCTGTTGTTGTTGTTGTTGCTGTTGTTGATGACGTTGTCCCCCCCGCGACCCGCGACCCACCCGCGACACACCCGCGACCCAGCCCGCGACCCAGCCCGCGACCCACCCGCGACCCCCGCGACCCACCCACGACCTGACCCGCGACCCACCCGCGACCCACCCGCGACCCGCCCGCGACCCACCCGCGACACACCCGCGACCCACCCCGCGACCCACCCACACTGATAGAACGAAAAAATCGCCGGCGCCTGCGGTGGGCTCACTGCATCAGAAAACAAGCCGCCAATATACTCAAACTCGGTCCCTGGATCCCTCCCGGGCCGATGCTGGCCAAGTGTCCGAGCTGCGCCCAGCCGTGGCGACAAAAAACCCCAGAAACAGCACGAGAATGCTGCCATGATGCGATTGGCTCAGGAAACGTTCCAGGAATTCCAGAGTATCTAGCGGCCAAGTCTTGGAACGCATGATTCTCACGATGTCGTTGGGCCCTTGCGCCCTCCCGCTCTGGCGAGCGTGGCCTCAGCCACGCCACAGCTACCCCCACTCTTCCTCCCTCTCCTTTTCCATTCTGATCTGGAGCCTTCTGGTGTGCCTCCTCCTCGTTCTCCTCCTCACAAGTCTTGAATGCCTTGCCCCATCAGATATGCCCCACACCTCCAAAACGACAACGCCGACATCGACGTCGCCTTCTGCGCCGACGCTGTCCTGGGCGCGCCCCCGGCCGAGCAAGGCCTGCAACATCCACAGCCTCAGGAGGCCGGTCGTGCCTGGCTGCACCCACTCGTAAGTCTCGACGCACGAGAGGAGGACGTCGTACTCCTCGTGGACCTCCTGGCGGCAGCGTCGTCGTCGTCGTCGTCGTCGCCGCCGCCGTCGTCGTCGCCGCCGCCGCCGCCTCCGCCGCCGCCGCCGCCGCCACCGCCGTCGTCGCCGTCGTCGTCGTCGTCGCCGCTGCTTTCGTCGCCACCGTCGTCGTCTTCTTAATCATCTCCGTCGTCGTCGTCGTCATCATCATCATCATCATCATCATCAGCATCATCATCATCAGCACCATCATCATCATCGTCGTCGTCGTCTTCGCCATCGTCATCGTCATGGTCATGGTCAAGGTCATCGTCATCGTCATCGTCATCATCATCATCATCATCATCATCATCATCATCATCATCATCATCATCATCATCATCATCATCATCATCATCATCATCATCATCATTATCATTACCATTATTATCATCATCATCATCATGATAGTCATGATCATCATGATCATCACCATCACCATTATCACCATCAGCACCATCAGCACAATCATCATCATCAGCAGCATCAGCATCATTATCATTCTCATCATCATCGTCGTCGTCATCGTCGACGTTGTCGTCGTCATGGTCATGGTCATCGTCATCTTGACCATCGCCATCACCATAACCATCTTTATCATCATCATCACCCTCATCATTACCATCATCATCATCATCATCATCATCATCATCATCATCATCATCATCAGCATCATCAAACTTATCGCCATCACCATCACCATCACCATCACCATCACCATCATCATCATCATCATCATCATCATCATCATCATCATCATCATCATCATCATCATCATGATTACCATGGTGATTATCAGCATCATCATCATCGTCGTCATCATCATCATCATCAACACCACCACCATCATCATCAGCATCACCATCATCATTGTCATCGACATCATCATCGCTACCACCATCATCAACAGCATCACCCTCACCACCCTCACCACCATCACCATCAGCATCATCACCATCACACCATCATCACGATGATGATGGTGATCACCATCATCATGGCCATTCCCATGCTGTCAGGCCAATGCCGCTTTCAGGGGCACCACCGCCGCACAGTACCACGGCGAAGCGGTGCTGCCTGGGCGCCGGGCGACTCCGCCTTGAGCTTGTGGGGCACTTCCCGTGGTCGCTGTGATGGCGTAATTCGGAAGTCCTGCTCTTCCCCCTCATGGGGGCTGCTGTTGCGAGACCAGAATTTCGAGGCGAATCCAGCGGTGACGACGAAGGCCCCCCAGGACGCTCAACAAAAAGGGAAAACGGCCGAAGGGTAGAGGTAGATGTATGGGCACCTTTTCCTCCTCTGATGATCGGGGGGACGCTGGCAACTGTGAACTGGGTCGAATCGCGATCGGATCGGGCACGGACCGGACCGCGCCGGCGCGGGCGCGGTCCGGTCCGTGCCCGAGCCGTTTGGGATCGCGGCTCAGGCTCGGCCCCTGCAGGCTGGAGAGGCGAAGAGCAGGAGGAGGAGGGGGAGGAGGAGGAGGACGAGGACGGGGAGGAGGAGGACGAGGAGGAGGAGGGGGAGGAGGAGAGAGGAGGGGAGGAGGAGAGGAGGAGGAGGAGAAGGACGAGGGAGAGGACGAGGAGGAGGAGGAGGCGGAGGAGGAGGAGAAGGAGGAGGAGGAGGAAGAGGTGGAGGAGGAGGAACAGACCGAGATCGGCATCGCGGCTTGGCGATCGGATCGGACAGTCGCGGCGGCCCTGGCCGGCAGCGGGATGAAGCGGCGGCGCTCGGAGCGGTGAGTCGGGCAGGAGGCGGAGGGGGAGGAGGAGGATCAGGATCAGGATCAGGCCCATTGGAATTCGTCAGCTACTTCTTACCGCCTGCCAGCAGCTGCCAAGAGGGGCGGGGCAGGGTGAACTCTGGGGGGCGGAACTTGATGCCGCGAAACCATCCAGCGCAGCCCGTGCCTCTCGACGGACGTCGCGCCGCCCCTGTAGGCACCTCCGACGTCGGCGCGCGGCCCAACGAGGGGCTCGCGGTGGGGACCAACACGCGCTGCTACCGACTCTTGCCCTGTCCTTTGCCCTTCCCTCTCTTGCCTCTCCCGCTGCGCAATTCCTCCCTCTGGATGGTGAGGGTGTTCGCAGCTTCGGGGCTGTAGGCCGTCGGGATGGGATGAGGGCTCGGGCCCCAAACATCTGGACTTGTAATCCCATGGGCGATCAGCCCGGTTAGCCGCGCAGTATCACGCATCTCTCTCTCTCTCTCTCTCCCCGCTCCGCTGTCTTCAACTCTGCCAGCAACTTGCTCGCATCCCTCGCGGGCGGCCCGCGAGGGGCTGGGCATGATCTTCCTCTCCGCCTTGAGGCCCACGAGCATGCTCTCGATCTGCTTCACCAGCTCTTGTCCGAACTGGCTGGTAATATCGATGGCGAAGATGATCCTGCCTCTGTTGCTGTCCGTCTCCGTCTGCTTCCCTTGGTTGCGCTTCCATTGCCAGTGGAGGACCACTCCGCCAACCTCGATCATCGCTATCTTGCTGATCTTTTGCGTCCATATGCTCTTGATGACTTTCGCCCACTCTGCAGCGTCCTGCGTGTCCGCCTCCTTGGCTGCCCACAACATTGACGCCGTGACAATCTGTACGAATGGCGGCCCTCGCGATCCTCAGTTGTTTTTTTCCATGCTTTTTTGTTTTTCTTTGAGACTTTGCGATGCGGCGTTGTACTGCTGTCCTGGCTCCTCCATGGTAGTTGCCAGTCCCACGCTTGCGTCGATGTCGAACGTTCGATACACTGTTGCAGTCAATTCTGCCAGCTGCCTGCTGTCTGACGACACCAACTTTGCGATAATGACGACGAGCTGAGAGAGCGTCGAGCCTGCGAGCTGCTTGCCCAAGTCCCCCTTCCCGCCCGTGACCTTGCGCAACTTTGGAGGGTTGCCTTCTGATGATGGGGCCTGCATCCAATCTGGCATGGTCAGCGCCGCCTGTTCTGGCATCGCTATCGGTGCCCAGCTGTGGAGGTAAGTTAGCATCAGCAAGCCGTGGGGGATACAACTCAGCCAACACAGTACACAGATCATCGACCGCGCCCGCTCTGTAATCGCAAACTCTGCCTCTGAAGGTGTTTGTAGGCATTCCGCTGAGATCCAAGCGCTCGCCGACATACTATGCATATGCTTGGAAGCGTCATCGTAGAACTCAGATTATGAACGTGATGTACCCGACGCATGTGGTTCATCAGGTCTCGTTTTGTTTGAACCCCGCTCCCACATAAGCTGCCCTCCTCCTCCCAGCCACACTTCCAAGGGAACTTCGTAGCCTCTTCGGGGTCCTCTATGTCGGGGTACTCGTTGAAGGAGGTCGGGGGGATCGCGAACGACAGCTCTCGGAGGAGGAGGAAAGGTTCGCCGCGCGGGGGGGCTCCGACAACGCCAGGAAAAGCAACTCCTGCGCCACTCCGCCGTGCACGCGGGCGCTGCACCTGCACAGCGCCTCGAAGCAGGCCTGTGGCACCCCGCCGCAACCGCTGCCGCCGCCGCCGCCGCCGCCGCCGTCGTCGTCGTCGTCGTCGTCGTCGTCGTCGTCGTCGTCGTCGTCGTCGTCGTCGTCGCCGCTTTCGTCGCCACCGTCGTCGTCTTCTTAACCATCCCCGCCGTCGTTGTCGTCGACGATCGAGGTACGACGGTCAAGTTTTCCGAGCCCCCCCCCCGTGCTGTTGGGCCCTCGCTCTGGATCCGCAGCGCCGCGCGTCTCACCTTCCCTCCTCACATCCCTCCTTTTCCTCCCTCCCCTCCTGTTCCTCTTCTCCTCCCTATTCGTTTCCTCCTCTTCCTCATATCAATCCTTTCGTCCTTCCTTTCTCTTCTCACCTTCCCTCCTTTTTCTCCTTCCCCTCTTCCTTATACATGACTCCTCCCTGTCGCATCCCCAGCGTGTTGGTAGGGCGGGCTAGTAGGCGTTTCGCCTGAGGATTCCTGGCCATTGGAACAATAGTTTCACGGATAGAGGGCGGGCCGCTTTTCACAATGTGGCTGTCGCCTAAGCGCAACGCGCATTTTGTCTGAAATGTTTGTAGCATTGTCACGGGTGGAGGGCGGTTGGTTTCCAAGATGTGACTCCCGCCTCAGCGCCGCACGCAAGTGTTTGAAAATAGGTAGCAACTTCACGGATGGAGGGCGGGCCGTTTTCAATATGTGGTTCCCGCCTTAGCGCCGCGCACATTCGTCGTGAACATTTGCAACAATTTCAAAGGTGGGGCCGTTTTTAGAATGTGACTATCGCCTTCGCGCCGCACACACACACATTCGATTAAACAAGCAGAACCATTTCACATATGGAGGGCAGTTGCTCCTCAACCTGGGGTTATCGCCTTAGCGCCGCGCGCACTCGTCTTGAAGCTTAGTAGCACTTTTACGGGTTCGTATGGTTGAAATCCCAGGAACGGTGTGCTAGTACAATTTAGGATTGTCTGGACGCAACAATCAAATTGATTCGATGTGTCCCAGCAACGGTTTCCTGGCACGCTTTAGGATTGTCAGGGCGCACCAATCATGTTGGGTCGCGGCGCCGAAGTCCTGAGAATTGTGTTTTTGCCGATTGAGACTTTTCTGACGGCTGTCTTCCAATGGGGTACTTGCACTTCCCGCAATGTAAATACGGCCTGGAAGGGGACCTATGAAGAGGTAATTTGGAGGTAAGGCTTATTTCAACATCGTTTATTTCAACAGGTCCTCCTCCTCCTCCTCCTCCTTCTCCTCCTCCCTCTCGTCTTCCTGCCTCTGCTTTCCATCCGGTTGTCAATTTCGGCACACCCATCACACGTTTGGTGGCCCCGCAGGGAGCTTCACCAACGGCCCCAGTGGGCGGCGCGGACGTATGGCTCCCTCCCCTCGCCAATTTCGGCACACCTCTCACCCGGATCGTGCCCTACAGGGAGCTCTACCCACGGCCCAAGTGAACGCGGATGTTTTGCGTTTCCCTACGGATTTTGACACACTGCTCACGCGGATAGTGCCCCCCACAGGGAGCTCCACCTACGGCCCCAGTGGGCTTGCCCGCATGGCGTCCACACGCCCGTTTTGGTACACTCACGCGGATCGTGCTATGGAGAGAGAATGAGGGAGAGAGAAGAAAAGGAGGAGAGGAATGACGAGGAGGGAGGAGCAGGGATGAGGAGCGAGGACGGATGAGGTGGAGTGTGACAGCCAGGAGGAGGAGGAGGAGGAGGAGGAGGAGAGGAGGAGGAGGAGGAGGAGGAGGAGGAGGAGGAGGAGGAGAGAAGGAGGAGGAGAAAAGAGGGAGGAAAGAGAGGGAGGAGAAGGAGAGGGAGAGGAGGAGAGAAGGAGAGGAGGGGGAGGAGGGGGAGGGGGAGGGGGAGGAGGAGGAGGAGGAGAGGAGGAGGAGGAGGAGGAGGAGGAGGAGGAGGAGGACAACGGTGAAGGAGGAGAGGGAGGGTAATAAGGGATGGGGAGGAATAGGTGGAGGATGAGGAGCATCATGCCCCGGTCTCCGCACCTGCCCGCATGTCCCCAATACCAGCCAGGGGGCGAGATCCGCACGGGTACTCCAGTAAGACAAAGCAACACACACACACACAGCCCCGCACTCACGCACACGTTGATCGGTTACAGTTCGGCTACACGCAAGAGTGACCTCCTCCTCCTCCTCCTCCCTCCCTCTCCCTCCTCCCTCCTTCCTCCCTCCTCCTCCTCCTCGGCCTCCTCCTCCTCCGCCTCCTCCTCCTCCTCCTCCTCCTCCTCTTGGCTACACGCAAGAGCGACCCTGGGCAAGAGTGACCTTTGGTGCGCGGCTTTTGGGGGGCCGCGGTGAGACCAAATCCAATCGCGCAAGACGCTACTATCGCATCGCGTTCGGCGATCGGGGGGCTCCAATGGGCCCGCACCAAAGGTCATTCCGGCGAAGGGTCACTCTTACGTCCAATCGAACAATGCGTCCGTGGGAAACATGACGGCATCTGCCGGGCACATGTCTGGTACATGCCCGCGCCTGCCGAGCGGAATATGCCCGCACATGCTCTGGAACAAGACACTGGAATCGAACCCCGTGTACGAACAGATGGCAACGCGCTGCAACTGCATGGAGTTGGGACCTTCGCCAAGCTAATCTTGGCTGCTTTTGGCCCTGCCAGGGCCTCTCCCACGGACCAGTGGCGGCAGATGGAGAGGAGGAGGGGGAGGAGGAGGGGGAGGAGGAGGAGGAGGAGGAGGAGGAGGAGGAGGAGGATAACATTGGCTAGACGAGGGGGTGCCTTCTGGGCAAAGGGGGTTCTCGGAAACCCTCCCTGCCTTCCAAGACGCCTTCTCGGAAGCATCCGAGCCCTGCCTGCTTCAGGGCCTGAATCCGGGCCGAGACGCCTGGTGCAGTCAGACCTAGACCAGAAGAGCATCCCTCAAGAATATGAGACCCTCCGTCGGCCAAAACAAACAGAATATCCAAGGGCACCCTCCCCAGGGTGCAAAACAACATCCAACAAACACGAATAACACCAAGGTACCCTTCCCGAACCGACCTCGATCTTATACATCGGTCCGACTGGGTGACAAGACTGCGACGCCTGGATCCCAAGGGATGTGGAGCTCAGATTAGGCCGGGCATGTCGTCCCACGGGCGGATCTCGGACGAAAAAGGATCTCTAGTCAAAACATACGCAAAAATAACCAAAAGGGCAATACTAATCGTCCCCAAACAGTTTTTCTTGTAACTGTTCTTGCATGTGCGTCCTGAATCGGGGGCGCGCAAATATGGATTAGCGATCCATGGATTTGGCGCGCGGTCGCCAAATCCATGGATCGGGGGAGGTGCCCTACCCAAAATGCGGCCGGTGCCGCCTCGCTCGGCGGCGGGAAACCAGGCTTCCCATGGAAATGGGACCCGTCGCTAATCAGTGCCCCCTTGATCCGTGTTTGCGATCGCCTGACTGTAGAGGGACGTGCCCGACATGTTTTTGGCAAGAGGCTGACGATCACCGTACATCTTCGGCTTCACTTTCTGGCAGGATATCATATATATATATATACACGTATATCTTCATAATTTTCTTCGGCAAGGGGTTGTTGATCCATATCTTCAGCTACCTCGTTGGCTTGGTTTCCTCCGGGATTGGCCATAGTCATCGTTAATTCTTTCACGAACTCAAGGGATGTGGAGCTCAGCACCTCTGGGCAAAGGGAGGGCGAGGGAAGGCGAGTGGCCGGCCCCGCTCGGCTCGGCTGGGGGCGGGCGCTCTTCTCCACGGGTGGGGGGGATGCTCCTCCTCCTCCTCCTCCTCCTCCTCCCCTCCTCCTCCACCTCCTCCTCCTCCTCCTCCTTTTCTCCCTCCTCCTCCTTCTCCTCCTCCCCCTCCTCCTCCTTCATTCCTTTCCTTATAAATTACCCCAGTGCGACCCTACCTAGAAGTTGGACCCCCCAGGAAAGCAGCATTAGTTGCTATGCTATACTATGCTATGCTATGCCATGCTATGCTGCGCTATGCTATGCTATGCTATGCTGCGCTATACTATGCTATGCTATGCTAAGCTATGCTATATCATGATGCGCTGTGCTATGCTAAGCTATTCTAAGCTGCGCTATGTTATGCTATGCTATGCTATGCTATGCTGCGCTATGCTATGCTTGGTTATGCTATGCTTGGCTATGTTATGCTTGGCTATGCTATGCTATGCTATGCTAATTCAGCACTGCGCTATGCTAAGCTAAGCTAACCCTCTAGACAGAGCCTAGGTAGGGAATTGCTTGCCTTACCTTTGCTTTGCTTTTGCTTTTGCTTTCCTTTGCTTTGCGTTGCTTGTGCTTTGCTTTGGTGTCGCTGCTGTTGCTTTGCCTTTGCTTTTGTGCTGTGCTATGCTATGCTCTGCTCTGCTCTGCTCTGCTATGCTATGCTATGCTGCGCTGTGCTATGCTGTGCTGTACTGCGCTATGCTATGCTATGCTATGCTGTGCTGCGCTATGCTATGCTGGGCTATGCTATGACATGCTGTACTGCGCTATGCTATGCTACGCTACGCTATGCTATGCTGAAGCTCAGCGAAGCTAAGATGAAGGTAAGCTAAGCTAAGATAAACCTGAACTAAGATGAAGCTAAGCTAAGCTAAGATGAACTAAGCTAAGCTAAGATGAGATAAGCAACGCTAAGCCAAGGAGACGTAAATGGGGGAACCGCGGGGCGGATGCCAGGTGAACCGCCCGGAGCGTGTTACACTGCCCGGCCCTTTAAGCTCACACAGTAAGAACCCTTCTAGGCAGAGCCTAGGTAGGGAATAACTTCTCCCTATCGCACCCCGAAGCCAATTTTCAGGGCGGGCCAGGCGTTTCGCCTGAGACTTCGTCAACATTTATGACCCTGAAGCTTTAACGTTGACAACAAATTGACAGCTGGACGGCGGGTGGTTTTCAAAATGTGGCTCCCGCCTTAGCGCCGCGCACATTCGTTTCACAAATTTGAACGGGTTTCACATATTTAAGGCGGGTAGTTTTCAACATATGTG